TTGTCTACAACCATCACAGTTTCATATATACCATTACAAGGCAATGCTTCAAAATAAAAAATACCATTATAGAAAGAATTAATAGAACCAACTTCATTATTAAATGAAAATCTAAAACCTTGTCTATACAAACCATGAAAAGAAATATTATTCCTCGTTATTTCTGACGAGTAGCAACAATCGTTCAAATCTAATCCTAAACCACCACTAAGTACTAAAGAATAAACTCCAATCTTGGTGACAAGCGACGCTTTCCTATTCCCCATCATCAAGTTCATCTTCCCATGCTCCACATCCTAACTTCTTCTTAGTCCCTGCAAATCAGAACAAAATGTGAAAACCATATTTTGTATCAAGGACCCAAGAATTAGCATGCGATTATTTATTAGATTGAATAGTGTAAATACCTACGAAGGTGGGATTTATCTTCCCATCCTTGATATCTTGCAGATACTTTAGGCATCTTCATTTCCAATGCCCTTTGTCATGACAGTAGAAGCACTCTGTATCTTTTGGATCGGATGAAGGAGAAGCAGAACCACCTTTTCCTTTAGACCCATTTGAATAAGATCCATCAGGAAACTTTCCCTTGTGATTCTTAGAGGGAGCTTTCCTCTTCTTCCCCTTCCCATGTCCAATAGCCAAGACTGGGGCAGCAGCATCATGAGTGGATGTGACAGCTTTGCCTTTCAACCTACTTTCAGCAGTCCTCAACAACCCTTGGAGTTAGGTCAATCTAACTTCCTCCTTGTTCATATGATAAGTCATCTTGAACTGATCATAACAAGGAGACAAAGAGTGGAGAATGATATCAATCGCAACTCTTTGTCAAAGTTGACATTCAACTTGAGCAAACGATCCACATACATTTGCATTCGTTACAAGTGGCTCGTGATGGACTCTCCATCTTTCATCTTGGTTGTGATCAACGAGGCGACAATCTCGTAACTTTCTTGACGCGCACTTTTAATGGTACTTTTCCATCAAATCTTGGCACATCTTGTAAGGCCAATAGTCCTTATAGAACTGATGTATCTCAGGAGTCATAGTGGCTACCATTATACACGACACCTTTGTCGCGTCTTTCTCGTGAGCCCTATACTCAACTATCTCTTCAGTAGTAAATTTTGATTCATCAATCTTGTTGAGTTGTTTGTCGAGAACGTATTCCGTCTCTTTGAAACGCACTATCATTTGAATGTTTCGGATCCAATCATTAAATTTGGACCCATCGAACGTGACCCTTGCACAAATTTTCATTAGAGAGAACGAGCTTTAGGAGTTAGAGTTCGAGCCGAAAGCGTTTTTTGAGCCATACATCTGAAAAAGAAAAAGAACAAAGTTTAGATTAGATAATGAATCCTTAATATAACAGCAAATGAAATATTAAGGCTAGGACCCAACACAATATTTCACAAGTCGGAAGAGGGATGCCGTAATCCAATTGCAAAATATTTGAAGATAGGTAAACGACGATTTACCAATTCCACCACGAAAAACGAAATGAACAATTAGGTTTCAAATGAAATGAATTTCCTAGGTTATTTTGAGATTCATTGAACTTTTCAATGGCATGTTTAATCTCGATTATGCCCTTCAAGTGTGTGACTGGGATACCGAGGATCACAAACAATGTGTGAATAACCATGAAAATTAGCTTTGTACTCTCGAGTCATTTGCCACCTAATCAATGTACCGGTTAACCACACGCGCTCCATTGATCTATAATAATTCTCGAGCTACCCTTCGCCGCCCTTGTTAGTCCAAGTTAGTGTGCCGGTTAACCACACACGCTCCACTAACGACTTGACAAAGTGCAAAGTTCAATTTCATGGAATAGCATCATTTTCACATTTTTCCTAAAGTAACTAAGATTGAGAATTTATAAAAGAGCATTTAGTTACTTTATACATTCATTATACTTATTAATGAGGAATTAATGTCATATCCTACCCATGCGGCTAATGACCCTCCACTAATCAAGGAAGCGGTGGATGAGAGTGGATACCCATTCAACCATCATTTTATAGGTAGTTTCCTTATAGATCGGTTTCGTGCATGAGGCCTACTAAAGGTAAGACTAACTCATCTTATACATACATATATATATATATATATATATATATATATATATATATATATTATGCTTTTAATATTATAATAGTATAATTTTTGTATTTTAAACTTTTAACACATTAGGGTTTTAGAATTTAATGTTTCAAAATTAAAGCTTTTTAATCAAATCTTAAATTCCAAAACTTGAAGGTAAGTTGTGAAAGTTTTCAAAACTGCAAGATCAAATTTGAAAATAATCAAATAAATCATATAATTTTATCTTTATCATGAAATTTGACCTAATCTATTTTACTTGGTAAGAAAATTCAAATCAAATTTTACAAATAATTATTTTATCACTAAATCTCATAATTATCTTAGAATTTAACAATTATCGTTCAATTAGATGAGTATATCCATTACCATATTAGAAAATACGAATTTAATCAGTAAAACAACTTATATCAATTATCCAAATCTAATTTAAGTCACAAAATTCAAAAATCTTCCAACAGATCCGATGCCACGTCGTAACAGGCCAACACGTTGTGTTCAACTATGAACACGTCGTGTTCATCAGGCAGAGACAAAAAACGATTTTTTTTTAGCTTTGAACAATTCACAAATGCATCAAATATAACAAAAAAACCCTAAGCTCTCATGCCACCAATGGGTTATGAGCACTACAACATTCCTATGGGGTACATGCAACCCTAATGCTTTGGATCTAGGTTTTTCTCAAGTTGTACATGCAAATTATTGTCCAAAGCATGAATCCTAATCTAGCATACAATTTTCGAGATTTGTAAGTAAAACAAAGTTAGATGAATACCTTTTCCTTGAAACTTGTAGATCTTAACCTTCAAGAGCTTAGTGCCTCAATTATTGCACCTCTAATGAGTCACAAACACCAAGTAGCAATTGGAAGAATATGAGATAGAGGGTGAGGCTCTAAATTCGGCTAGGGTTCTCATCTTAGAAGCATTAACCAATTTTAAGGAGCCAAGGGGTTCCTTATATAGCTGAGTTGCTAGGGTTTCAGGTAAAACCCTGATCTGATTGCTTAAGCCTTAAGCAGTCCAATATTTCCTTCCAGAAGGCCCCCTTTGGACGAAATCTATGTGGGATACACATAGAATTTCTTCCACCCCTTACTAGGGATCCATATGCACAACTTGTAACTATAAGATAATTGCAATATCAGTACTCGTAATTTAATAAGTCTCTTTTGATCACCAAATTAAATCCAAATTAATTTCTGATCAATACTAATTAAATAATACGATTTATCAATTAACATATTATTCTTATAATATATTAATATATCATAATAAACTTCTTTCTCCATAATTCATCCTATTAAATTGCTATGGTGAAGGAAACCCAAAAGGACCATGCTATTATCGGGTCAAGTACATCCCAATTATAGTCATGGGCTTAGACACCTAATCCAACAAAAGGATTATCCATTTTGAACGTTGTAGAATGTGTAGTTATGGATTGAAAATTTATGATAAAACTTAAGTTAGAATATCTTGCTAAGGTGATTTTTGGGATGGAATCTCTTTAAGGAAGGAAGAACTTGTAATACATGTTTTTCATAAGATGTATTATTTTGAGGTGTGCAACTTGTTTATAAAACAGATAAGATGGATAAATCATGAGTTTTTATTGAGTGTGTATATTAAAGGTGTATTGTGTATAACTGTAAAGTAGAAGAAGGACATGATGCATTTATAGGTAGGTTACTATATTGTGTAGTGGTCATGAACATTGATGTTGTTGTTTATTCCTTTAGGGCCAAAGAATGCATGTCATATCCAAATATAATATGATACAAGTGCTTTTAGAATTATTGTTGGTTATTTATGATCACCTTACATGTATTGTTGCACCGTGTATTAGGGCACACTGCCCACATCCAATGTATATAATCAATTCTACCTAGAATTCCATGGAAAACATGCTTGTTTTCATATGATGTGTACCATTGGTGACATCACTAATGATAGGTTTAGGTGAATATTGTTTACCATAAACCAAAACCACAGTTTTAGCAAGCCCTTTAAGTTTTTCAAAAATATTTGGTTTTACCCTTGGTGAACATTTGTGTCTAATAAATTTTGGATATTTGTTAAAAAATTTGTGTTTAAGCCCTTTTATCAGGTTTCCAACCCTTAGCCGGTTACTTCTTCCTCTTTCCTCGACGCCATGCAAACCCACTAATAATCTCCCCAAACCTTCTTCTTCCCCCACCGATTGAATAAAAACAATTTGAGCAAATTCAACACCAACCCATTATGTTTTAAACCAAAACCCACAAATTTCATCAAGAGTTTTAAGAAGGTTTATCTGAATTTCATCAAGAGTTTTTAGGATTCAACCAACTGTTAGGAACATCAAATCACAAAATAAAAATCACATCGCTATTCTTCACCAATCTCTCCACTGCCTTTGCAAACCATCTACCTGTAATTTCTACAATGGTAATTTTTAAAAGACAATTTACAGGTTAGAAAGACCTTACACAATCCGTTGATGTATTTCTTCACCATTTTTATACAACTTTCATGGTTTCTGTGAAGATCATAACTCGATTGCACAATTATTTTACTTCTTCGGAAACGTATTTGGCCCATTCTTTGGAGCAATTATTCAAGTATTTAGCATGTAAAAATGAAATTAATAAGCGACTGAAAAAGAACGCAAATCCTGGAATTAAAAAGCATAAAGACTGGAGAACTTCAGTCGATTAGAGAACTTCAAGTTCATGGATTTGATTGGTACCTGCAAGATTGATTTTGACTTTGCACTTTTTGACCAACATGAAGAAGACGACGATGCAAAGTCACACGTTGATTTTTCCCACTGATCACATGTGTGATCAATCAATTTACAGTTTTACACAGAATGATAGGGTTAGAGAAAGAGGCCATTAGGTCGTGATGGTGCCGGTGGTCCAATTGATCGGCGAAGAGAATGAGGAAACAATGAAAGAAAGAGGAAACGACGAGATAAATGGGTAACCGGTTAAGAGGTGAACGGTTATCGGGTATAGCTTGTTAAAGGGCATTGGTGACAAAAAAAAATGTTGGGTATCAGTAGATACAAATGTTCACCTAGAGTAAAACCGAATATTTTTTAAAAACTTAAGAGCTACTTTTTAGCAAACTTGTAAACAATATCATTTGTGGCCCACTTAAACATCCTTAAATATGTATCCAACCAAGTAGAATCAAATACATATGACAAAGTAGAATTTGATGATGATACTGTAAAAGATGAGAAAATAAATATGAAAGTTGTGAGAATTTGTGTTGTGAAAAAAAAAAAAAAAAAAAAAGATATTAATGATATTTATAGGGTTTGAGAAAAAAACAAAATAAAATAAAACAAAAAGTTACCATACACTTACTTCCCACTCGGTTAGCTCATCTCCTACGGAAACCAGCACCGCACCTATAGAACCCGACGGTGTGGTGTTAGCTCAAGAGTGGCATGAAGTGCACCATACCCTTGGGTCTCATAAGTAATAATTCAATATTGACTTTAAATTCTACCTAAACATCTACCTAGAATAATAATAATAATTTTGGTTTTTTCTTCAACCATGACTAATAACCGATCAAAAAAAGCAAAAGTTGAGAATTTTAGAAACGGTGACGGGCGATTTCGGAATCAGTTAATCGCAATCACAGGATATTCGCCGGCGGTATCAAACGCCGGTTGGTATCCTTGCCAGAAGTGCTTACTATGTTTTCGAAGATGGGTAATAATGATTGGGGTAGAAGGAGGAATGTGCATGGGGATTCTAGGGTTCAGGATGGAAGACATCATGCAAAAGGTATGGTCCTTAATTCTGAGATTTCGTCTTTCTTTATCACGAACTTTCCCGATTCAGTACAAGTAGTTGACTTGTGACGGGTATGTGGTCGTCTAGGTAATATGGTGGATGCTTTTATATCCACTAAATTGTCCAAAAGGGGGAAGCGATTTGGTTTTGTTAGATTTTCTAATGTTCGTAGTGAAGATCGAATGATCAAATGTCTATGTGAGGTCTGGTTTGGGACGTATAAGATGTTTGCTTCATCTCCTCAATTCAAAAAAGAGGACATTAATCCACTGCAGAAGAAAATTGATCTGAAGTCTAGTGGCAAGATTGTCCATAACTCACAGGTCTCGTCTTCTTTAAATTCTTATGCAAGCATTGTTAAAGGAACAGGTGTGGTGAATGGTAATAATGAACAGATACAAGAGGTTATTGAATTATCTTCTGGAGACTTCATTGTTGAGAGATATGACAGGGCTTGCTTGGTGAAAGCGATAGATTTTCTGATTCTCCCTAATCTACGTATGCTCTGTTTAGACGAAGGTTTTGAAGACTTTAATATGAAATATGTTGGAGGTTTATGGGTATTGATTGAATTTAAATCGATGCATGCATGTGAAAATTTTATGAGTTCGGATGTGATGGACCATTGGTTACTAGAGAAGCGTGACTAGAATCGAAATTTCGTGCCATTGGAACGTATAGTGTGGGTTGATATAGAAGGTCTACCGTTGTCTGCTTGGAGTAAGGACTCATTTAGAAGAATTTTGTCTAAGTGGGGATCTATTGCTTAAATGGATGATTATGTAGGGGAAGATGTGTACAAGAATCGTGTTTGTATATTGACTACTGCTCAACAAATAATCTCTGATACGGTGAAGGTTAGGGTGGATGGTAAATTGTTTAATATCAGAATTAAAGAAGCCCCGGGGTGCACTCCTTCTTTTGTTTCAGATACTCCGAAATCTGATCCTGAAGGTTGTGAAGAGAGGAATGTTTTGGACGGTAATGATAATGATACTGGGACTAATTCTTCAACTGGTAATGCTGAAGAATCGTTGGATCCGTTTGGTATATATGAAACAATGGAAAGAATGAAGGCGGAGGAGAGAAGAAATAAAATATCAACAGGTTATCATGGTTGGGGTAAATCTAAAAAGCATATGAATGACGCTCAAGAATTGGAAGGGCAAAATGGGAATAAATCTGCTCGGTGACTGAAAAAATGCAGATAATGTCCCCAGTTCAGTCCTGTTCAGAACTGCAGGCAGGTCCACATCCATGCGACTCTCCAAATCAGATAGCAACAACTCCTATTGAGATTGTCCAGCAGTCTTCAGGATCTTCTAAAACAGCGCCTACTATTCCTATTACTGATGTGTCGATTCAAGCTTCTAATGCGCAGAACTTGGTACAGGCTCCGGTTATTTCTCATGATACTACTCCTATGAATAATGGTTCACATATTTCTCCTATTAATAGTGATTATAGTTTGGGTTCAGATTGTTGTGTTAGTGAAAATTTGGTGACTGCGGAAATAAAAAAGGCGATGGCAACGGGTCAAAAAGTTGGTTTTAAGATGGATGGATGTTTGGAACAAGTTACGCGAATGGTGAATCGGGAGGGAATTATAAAACAGTAATTAATGAATTGTTTGTCTCTGAATATCCAAGGAGTGAGTTGATTAGATAAGAGGGGATGGGTGCGAAATCGTTATGTCATAAATTTAAAATTAACGTTTTAGCTGTTCAAGAAACGAAGATGGAGCTTATTGATTTTTTGGTGGTTCGTTCTTTTTGGGGAAATGCTTCATGTTGTTATGCGTATTCTCCTTCTCGTGGCAATGCGGGGGGGTATTCTCGTCATTTGGGACCAAAATAGGTTTAATAAAAAAAAGGGTCATTTCATCGGATTGGTTTGTAGCAGTGGAGGGTGTTTGGATTTCTTCTGGGACAAAGGTTGTTTTTGTTTCTGTTTATGCTCCGCAAGGGACTGATAGAAAAACAGAAATGTGGGGAGAGATTGGTCAATTGATGAGTTCTTGTTCGGGGGAGTTTGTTATTATGGGAGATTTTAATGAAGTTCGTGATGAATCGGAACGTATGGGGTCTCAGTTTTATCCCGCTTCAGCTAGGGTCTTCAATCAGTTTATTGAGGATGCAAATATATTTGATATTGCTTTGGGTGGTCCTCGTTTCACTTGGAGCAATAAGTGGGGTTCTAAGTTTAGCAAGTTGGATCGGTTTCTGGTGTCAGAGAGGCTTTTGGTAGTATTTCCTCATCTCTCAGGGATGGTGTTGGAGAAGAGAAAACTGGATCATAGACCTATCCTATTGATGGAGCACTCTGTTGATTATGGTCCTAAGCCTTCTCGATTTTTCCATTCTTGGTTTAGCCATGCTGGTCTTGATGAGGTGGTTCACAATTCCTGGTCTTCAGTTATTGAGGGTGAGGATATACTTAATCCCTGGGTTATTTTTAAGAAGAAACTCCAGCTTCTTAAGTATAATCTTAGGGTATGGTATCATGTTGTTCGGGAGGGTATGGATAATAAAAGAAAAAAATTACAAGACAACATTGAATCGATTGATACCATTCTTATGGCGGGAGATGGTACAGTTAGCCTTAGGGAACAGCGAGTAACAGTCTTAAAGGAGCTGGCAGATTTAGATCACCTAGATAGAATGGATATAGCACAGAAGGCAAAAGTTCAGTGGAGTATTGAGGGGGATGAAAATTCTGCTTTTTTTCATGGTGCAATGAACAGGAAAAGGTGTCAACTAGCAATTAAAGGTGTTATGGTGGATGGTGTTTGGGTTGATGATCCGGGGAGGGTAAAAAAAGAATTTCATAATTTTTATAAATCCCTTTTTTCTAAGAACAGAGTGACACGCCCCTCCACAGATCCTTCTCTGTTTCATACTCTTTCAGAGGATCAGGTTCAGTTTCTACAGGCTCCTTTTACTATTGAGGAGATTAAAAGAGCGGTTTGGGATTGTGGTTCAGACAAGGCTCCTGGTCCAGATGGGTTTTCTTTTGGCTTTATTAAGCGTTATTGGGATCTTATTTCTCCGGATGTGGTGGCATTTGTACAACATTTTTATACACACTCTCTTATACCTAAGGGATGTAATGCTTTTTAGAAGAAACATGTATGCATTGGGTCCATTGGGATAGAGCTTTAGCAGATAAAAAAGAGGTGGCCTAGGAATTGGAAGCTTCTTCTCTTTTAACCGTCTGTGCGTAGAAGGTGGACAGGACCTTGGAGTGAGTTATTCGGATGTTAGCACAGCTTAGAGATTGGGGTGTGGATTTGGTCTCTTTGTGTCCGATTAGGGTTGGAGATGGAAGTAACACGTCTTTTTGGCATGGCATTTGGAAAGGTGATCAACCTCTAGCATCGTCTATTCCTAGGATTTATGCGTTGGATATGCATCGGAATGTCTCGATTAAGGAAAGGTTTATGGTTGGTTGGAGTGTTGCCTTTCTCAGACGACTTCCTAGAGTTGGTATTGAGCAGACCCAATGGGATATGTTTAGTGCTTTGGTGCAAGACCTTCAGCTTCATTCTTATCCTGATCAGCTCGGATGGTCTATGGATGTTTCAGATTCTTTTTCAGTTGCGTCTGCTAGACACCATATTGATAACGCTTTGTTGGTTACGGGTGGCGGTGAGACTGGTTGGAATAATTGGGTTCCTATCAAGTTAAATATTTTTATTTGGAGGTTACGGTTACGGAGTATCCCCACCAGAGAGAATTTATCTCATCGGGGAATTATGATTAACTCAATCATGTGCCCCATTTGTTCTAATTCAGTAGAGTCGATTGATCATTTATTTGCAGATTGTAACCAAATAAGAGATATTTGGTTTCGTATTACTGTATGGTGGGATGTCCAGATTCCAATCCAGTTGTCCATTGATTCCATTATGTCTTGGTCATAGTTCACAGGTTTGAAAGGCAGTCAAAGAAAAGCTTTCGAAGCGGTAATTATTACTACTTTTTGGTGCTTATGGAATTTTCGGAATGCTAGTATTTTTGGATCGTTGATGCCAAGGAAATCTTTACTTTTTGATCAGGTGGTTCAGACGTGTTTTTTTTTTATTTCTAATAGATGTAATAGAGCTAAGATATGATGGACTAATTGGCTTAATAACCCTATTAGTGCTTGTAAGATGTTGTAATGTCTCTCTTTTTCTAGCTTCTAGCTAGTTTTAATAAAAATCCCGTCGTTCAAAAAAAATAACCAATCAAAAAAACCGAACGCTTTAATGGTTCGGTTAACCAAACCAAAAAGAAGTCAAAAATATTGGTTAACCTAAAAATAAATCAATACAATTCATCAGTTTTTCGGTTTCGGATATTCTAAACACCTGTATTGGTGATTTTTCTCCGACTTTGAAGTTGTCAGCGTATATTATTGTGTTTTTATTTTTAGTACTATTATTATTATTATTATTATTATTATTATTATTATTATTATTATTATTATTATTCATTTGGAAGATTGTTGGGGATCCTTGAGAGCATTTTTCCAACAAGAAGAAAACTAGCGAAATTTACATTCATATTACTACAATTTGCTTTCGGGTTTATACTATTTATATTGCGATAAAACAAACATTCAATCATCAAATCAACTTCACCATACAATGTTTCTTCTTGCCTTGGACCGAAACTCCTTTTTGGTGATGCACCACGAGTTTGGAAAAGTGCTCAGCTGCACCCACCAAAAAAAAAAAAAAAATTAATATGTTATTTTTCACATATTTCCATGACTTCCTGGGACTAGACATGAATTAATATATTTTAACAACTCACATTGCCGAGAAGCTTTGCCCCATACCATGCAGAATTTGCACCATAAGGGGGTGGAATAACTCTTATTCCATCAGCTATGGATGGGGCAAGAAGATGGTGCAGTTCCTTCTTTAATCTTTCTGCAGGATGTGGGATATAATCAATATATACATGCATAATTAACTTTTCAGTTTACAATTTACATATAATTAAATAAAATAATAATAATGATAATAATACCTGGTAGTCCCGGTAAGCATGCACTTCCTCCAGCCAGGACAATGGTCTTGAACCAGCTTTCATCAGCACTCAACTCAGCAGCATGACAATGTTCAACACAAAGTGCCACTGCTTGATGCAATCCCATTGCACGCCTGGATTCAATGAATACCATCACAATAACAATAAGCTTTTCAAAAATCCTTTTACCATTGGACTGTGAATTCCAACCTTTTAATCATCTTATGGGGTTTGTCTATTTTGGTCCCTAAATTTAATCGCATTACATTTCATACCCTAGTTGTATTTAGATATTAAATCTCTATTATTGATGTTTATATTAGTTGATCTATTTAATCAAATATACAAAACAAAAACAAATGTATTTAGAAAAAGTTATATCATCCAAATGCATTTTCTAAACTTCGCAGTCACATAATATTTTATCGTTTTATTATTATTACTCCGCAACTGCATATGTGAAATTTTTATCATCTTTTATATTTTCAAAAAAGAAGACCCGGCACAGTTTTGTATGTTTGTGGCATTAGGTGTCTATAGAAGGATACATTATGTGTCCAATGGGAAAGAAAAAAACGACTAACCCAAAAGATGAACCAAACACTTTTACAAATTTAATTAACAAAATTAACTCTCTTTGTATGTCTCGAAGTGGATCAAAGATGTAAGAATTTTGACAAACGAACAACTTGAATATCATCATATGTTGTGTGATGAGATAAAAACGAAATATGGACTACAGGTTCAGGCTTTGTTTTTACAAATGTCCGTATTGAAATATTTTTATCTATTTAAATTTTATTGTCAAGTAATGTTTTTTTCTTGAATATATATAACATATGTTTAAATGAATGAGAAATTATATGAGGGGGTGTATAAAACATATAAGATAGATAAAGATTAATCAGTTCATTAAAAAAAAAAACATTTTGAAAATGTTAACCACGGGAGAAGGTTTATGTCAAATAAAGGTTAGGGGAAAAGTGATGCGACAAAAGTAATAAATCCTTGAGAGGTTATGCACTAAGAAAAAAAAAAAACAAAACAATTGAGTGATGCGAGACATACATTCCTGCGATACGTGGTTGGAAGAGAATTTCTCCTGTTTGAAAGCGCTCTTGTTTTAGAGTAAACCAACCTGCAGCCGCAACTTCATATGATGCTTCTGCATCCTTGCACAATTCCGCTTCATAGTCAACAGCTACATAACACAGGTTCTGCATCTCAAGTCAACCGCTTGACTTTTAGAATATGTAATAATTTTTTTTTCCTAAATCTACACCTATCCGTCAACTCCTTATCAGGTTCTATAACTGGACACTCTTGTCAAGTGAAGACTTTCATTTATTTCGAGTGATAATGTCATCACCCACATATCTAAATTAAACATAAATCCCGAAATATGATGACTTTTTTTGTTTATTTAAATAATATATTTGGTACTTCAAATGGAATTTTGTAATTACCTCCTTCAGTGAGCGCACAGTGTATAGCGAATCAAACTGTAAGTTTCTTTGCATCATTTGCTCCCTAAGGAATCCCGTAAGTTTCAAAGCTCCAACTCCCACAGATTCCACTCCCACTTTGCGCATTATCTTAC